GTGACTCTTGGAAGTAAGCACTATTATCGTTTCCAGCTTTCCGACTGACGGCGAACTAGGTAAATTGGAAGGTAGCGAAGATTACCCTGAGGCAGCAAAGGCACAGGAGGCAGGGAGGAGACACGGCTTCGAGTCTGGCCCCCAACGCCCAGGCCCGCAGCCCCGACCCTGCGGTCCCCTTCACACGTGCCCTGCGTCCCCAGGGAGTGCACGTGCCCACACCTGCCAAGTGTGGACGGAAAAAATCTGAGCCCTAAAATATTTGAAAGAAGTTTATTCTGAGCCAAATTTGAGGACCATGGCCCGGAGACACTCCCAAGAAGCCTTGAGCAAGTGGGCTCGCAGTGGCTGGGTCACAGTTTAGTTTTATACATTTTCAGAGAGATGGGGGTTACAGGCAAAGTCACAAATCAATACATGAGAGGCACACATTGGTTTGGCCCAAAAAGGTGGGACCCTCCAAGCAGCGGGCTTACAGCGTTATAGCATGGGTAAAGATCTCTTTGGTGCAATGGCTGAGAGACGTTACGACTTTATCCTAGAAGACAGCAGGACGAACATGCTTACTTAAGATTAAGGGTGTGGAGCCTCTGGAGGGTCAGAGGAGGAATTTGACATTTACAACTAGCGCCGTGCCTAGGATATCTGTGAGTTAGAAATGGGGCTCTCTATCTTTGTAGGCTGACTGGGTTAATGCCATTGACCAGAATACAGGTTGGCGCTTAGTGGGAATTTACCGTTTGGCAGCTGACCAGCCTGCCCTCCCTTAGGAAGGAGTTTTTAGCAAAAGAAAAAGATCAGAGTTCAGTGCTCACAAGCCTCAGCTCAGACGCCGACTCCCGGGGCTGCTTTCTCGGGCCCGGCTGAGAGCGTTCGCCAGACGGGCCGCGGCATCTGCCCGCACTTTGCGTCCTGCCCCGGCGGGGACCGCGGGGAGCAGGGCTCTTGCCCCTAACGCTATGTCACGTTCACAACACGTAGCACACGGTGCATGCTCAGTAGTGCGTTGAATGAACGAAGGAATAAAACTGGTTAAAGTAAGTACGGTACCCAAGGCTGAGAAAATATTGTCTGCTTTGAAAAACCAAAATTAAGAGTTTATGACAAGTCCTTTCAGACCTTGCTGGTCCCGGCAGACAATTCCCATGGACAAGCGCAAAAACAAGCCGCTGCCTCCCGCCGCCACCCCAGTGCCCCCGCAGCGAGAGTCTCCTTACTTCCGAACGCCTCCCATGGGGAAGACTTTCTCTCCGACTATGGCCAGCACGACGTTCCAGTCGGACAGGCTGAACTTGGGTATGATGATTTTTACAGGCGGAATAAATAACCTTCCATTTGTGAAAACACTGTAAGAATGAAAAGAAAGGCATTCGTTACTGCCTTGAATTTGAGGACAAAACATTGAAAATCCGAAGAAAAACATGCATATACTCATAAAACAACGCAATGCACTCAGCAGCCCCCAGTAACGCACACCAGGCCCCACGGGGGATTGTCCCACGCTGCACAGAACGTCTTAGCGCCTGGTGACATAATAACGTAAAAAATACATCTTTCTATATAATCTAAAATGCCCAGCTGAGCAGGACAGAACTCCACTTTTTAAAAAAATATGCCTCCAACTACTGTGATGGGTAAAATGGAAGAAAATTGGGTCCATTTGGAAAACGGGGGGATTTTCCTTAAAGACTGCAGCTGCTTTCCCCTCCCAGGGAGCCGAGATTGTCTCCATCTCCCAAAGAAAATAACGTGCAGTCCTCTGAAAGATAAATGATCTATTTCATTCTTGTAGTTGTAAGGCAGCTTCCGTGTGATCTCAAATGGTTATTGTATTATTTCTATGTGTGTGTGTGGGGGGGGAAGACTTAGTAGATTTTCAAAACCCAGGGCAAAGGTATTAGTTCTTCAGTGTTAATGAGACTATGCTGGCTGGGTAAGGTGGCTCACGCCTGTAATCCTAGCACTCTGGGAGGCCGAGACAGGAGTATCGCTCAAGGTCAGGAATTCAAGACCAGCCTGAGCAAGAGCGAGACTCCGTCTCTACTAAAACTAGAAAGAAATTAATTGGCCAACTATATAGAAAAAATTAGCCGGGCATGGTGGCACATGCCTGTAGTCCCGGCTACTCGGGAGGCTGAGGCAGGAGGATCACTTGAGCCCAGGAGTTTGAGGTTGCTGTGAGTGAGGCTGATGCCATGGCACTCTAGCCCAGGCAACAGAGCCAGACTCTGCCTCCAAGAAAAAAAAAAAAAAATGAGACTATGCCACAGTCAAAGACACTGGGTGGTGGCTCACGCCTGTAATCCTAGCACTTTGGGAGGCCGAGGCGGGCGGATTGCTCAAGGTCAGGAGTTCGAAACCAGCCTGAGCGAGACCCCGTCTCTACCAAAAATAGAAATAAATTAATTGACCAACTAAAAAATATATATACAAAAAATTAGCCGGGCATGGTGGCGCATGCCTGTAGTCCTAGCTACTTGGGAGGCTGAGGCAGGAGGATCGCTGAGCCCCGGAGTTTGAGGTTGCTGTGAGCTAAGCTGACGCCACGGCACTCACTCTAGCCTGGGCAACAAAGTGAGACTCTGTCTCAAAAAAAGAAAAAAAAAAAAAAAGACACTGGGGATAGCTTCAGACCCTTGTAACTCAAAATAAGGTAAAATACGGGCTTATTTTCTAAGTCTAAAAATAATGAATGATGTCACTGACATCTTTTAACAACACACAAGCTCAATCTTACAATTCTGCTTAAGTTTTTTACATTATTATCTACTGTTACTGCAGTTTTGTTGTTTTTTTCCTTAAATGCAAATAACTTTGAATTTGAGAAATACATCTTTTTTTCCAGAGTAATATAAATATTAATTTAATATATTTGTCACAATAAAGAAAATGCAGGGTTTTTTGCTAAGGTTGTATGGCAAAAGAAGTTTCCAGTCAACCCTGGAGTCCAACTCCTTCCATATTTAAGACACCACTCAATTATTAACTGTAAAAAGGAATGTTCTATGTAAGCTGTTGTACACATCGCAATTCATCAATGTGCTATTACAACTATAATAACATTTGCTACAATGTTTTTTCAGTTATTGGTTTTCCCAATTGGTTTATGCCAAAAGTATTTTTAAATATAGATTACTAGTAGTAATAAAAGAAATAAATGTTTGAATAATTGAAATCATGTTACATCTCTGTCCAAAGTTTTAAGGTATAATTTATATTAAATATTGATAAATAAGCACATTGACATATTGTTGATGTAGTTAAAAGTTAGCACGGTCTTCCTGAAGGGCATCCTGGCGATACAGATCAATGAGAAACAGGGATCAATAACCACCGGCCCAGTCATTCCACTCCGTGAAATCCATCCCACGCAAACAAATGTGGGAAAAGATTTATATATAAAGGTATTTCTCATAGAATTATTTATAAACCCAAAAATATAAAATGTCTAAGTATGGATGAATGGTCCAATAAATTATGGCATAGCCATATAATAATAAATTATGCTGGAGGGAGGTGAAAAATAAATAAATAAATAAATAAATTACATTTGCCATTAAAAATTATTTATGCAGAATTTGCATTTACGGGGGAGGGGGGAATGGTCAAATAGAATTAATGCTCTAAACAGAAAACACAACAGCACACGACAGAGAAAGCTCTAAAAACAAATGTGCCTCAAAGCTAACAGTGACTATGTCTCTAAGGAATGGGATAACTGGCCACTTGTATTTTATTCTTTTAGCTTTTCTAGATTTCCACGTTTTTATGAGAATGTAAACAGAGAAGAAAACCACTGTGAAAATTCAAAATTTTTTAAGGAAAAGAGAAAAAAGCAAACATGATCCCCAATTTATAAATTAGGCATTTGCAAGTTCCGAGGGAGGAATGGACTTAACCCGTCTGCGGAAGTTGCCCGGCGGAGCTGAAGATGCGCCCGGCCCTCTCTTCCTGTCCAGGTTTGGGGTCCGAGTTGCTCAGGGATGGGACGGCCCATCCGACAGGTGGCTGGAGGAACAAGCCCCCCCACAACACCCACAGGTAGCTCCCCTGGAAGTCTGGGATGGCGGGGAGATGGACGGGCGCACACCCAACCCCACCGTTGTTAAATAAACACCAGCATGTGTGAATTCTGGAATCCCGTGTAGCCATTTTTCAAGGCACCCTCTATCTACTCGTGCTGATAAGAAGCCACATGCAAGATAAACTGTGCGGCGAAATAACAACCGAGTGCACACGACAGTGCACGCAGCGCACACGGAGACCCGCGAGTGCCCGAGCTCACGCGGTCAGCCCCAGAAAGACCCCGGAAACGGTGACGCTGGCGTGGCTGGGAAGCCGCTGGAGGGCTGGGGGCGCAAGGTGGAAGAGTCTCTTTTAATTTACGCCTTTTAAACTGTACGTGTACCGCAGGCTCCAGTTACTCTGGCTATTTAAAAAAACAGTTAATTAAAATAAAAACTCTGGGCCGGGCGCGGTGGCTCACGCCTGTAACCCTAGCACTCTGGGAGGCCGAGGCGGGAGCATTTGCTCTGAGGCCAGGAGTCGAAGACCAGCCTGATGCAAGAGCCAGACCCGTCTCTACTATACATAGAAAGAATTAATTGGCAACTATATATATGCACAAACATTAGCCGGCTCATGGGGTGATGCCTGTAGTACCCAGCTACTCCGGAGGCTGAGGCAGGAGGATTGCTTGGCCCAGGAGTCGTGAGGTTGCTGTGAGCAGAGGCTGACACCACAGCACTCCCTCTAGCCTGGGGCAACAGAGTAAGACTCTGTCTCAAAAAAAAATAAAATAATAAAATAAAATAATAAAAACTCTGAAGAGGAGTTAAAGGCATATAACTATTTTGCCAATGTACCTCCTAACATGCTAATTAACGTGTAATGGGAAAAGGGGGGGAAAGGTCACATTATTTTAAACAGAAGATGTGTTAAATTATTTTACATGGGAACGAGCACACGGGTCTGGGCATGGATCCTAACCAGGTGGCTGATGGGGCGGCGGCCATGTACCCAGCGCTGGCCACGCACACGTGTCTAGTCGTCTCTAATCTTCTCAACAAACCAGTAAAGCAGGTGCCGCTATCCCACGACACAGATGGAGAAACTGAGGCACAGAGAGGGCAAGTGGCCTGCCCAAGTCACAGGGGGGCCGGGCGGAGGGCTGGCCACGCGGCCACGTCCACCTGGCTCCAAAGCCTGTCTGCGTTCTTTCCCCCAGTCACCCTCCCTCCCACCGTTTCTCTTCTCTGCTGAAAAACCAGGTAGAAAGTGTTGCAATGTGCTGCTTCTCTCTCAGATTTACGCTAATGATGGTCCATGGGAGAAAGCCAAGGTCATCTTTATCTCCGGTGTTCTCGCTGTCCTCGCTGTCCTCAGACAGGTGTCATCTGCTGCAGCAGGTCACAGATGAGCCACGATCATGTCATGACCTCTTGGGGTTTGTGAACTAAAACGAAATCTTAAGGCTCCCCACAACCGGCTGACTGAATGGACCCCTCGTGGCCAAAAGAATATCCTAAAACTAAACTGCCTGCCAGGAGGAGGGAGGTCAGACAGGCCCCATCATGCCCCCTCCCTTCTTGGGGACATCCTTTGTAACCCATTAACAGGCCTAAGGGTGTGCAAGACACACCTGCAGCTCCTCAATTTACACAACAAATCTATGTCCCAGAGCCTTATCTCTGATAGCAGCTCCTTATGTTGAAACATTCCAAGCCTCTGGACAAACCTTCATGTCTTTAACCAATTACAAGCCAAAGAATCTTTAAACCCACCTACAACCTGTAAGCCTCCGCTTTGAGATGGCCCACCTTTTCGGGCCAAACCAGTGTACGCCTCTCACGTATTGATTAATGACTTTACCTGTGACCCCTGCCTCCCTGGAATGTATAAAAACAAACTGTGACCCAGCCACAGCAAGTCCACTTGCTCAAGGTTTCTTGGGTGTGGCTCTGGGTCATGATCCTCAAATTAGGCTCAGAGTAAATACCCTTAAAATTATTTTACAGAGTTGGGCTTCTTTTCCATTGACAGCTGCCTGCACCCCTCACGGGGGAGCCCCGCTCACGCTCGCTCCCAAAGACCAGACCGAGTCCGGGTTGAGCTGAACTGCAAGGCTCTCCTCCCTGGAAGTCGGAAGCCGCATTCTCCAGAGCTGATTCTGGAATTAAACAGCTCGGTGTCTGGGCAACTCGTTCCCTCGCTGAACTCTGAGATCTCAGACGGCAAGCCCGGGGCTGAGTCTCGTGGCCGTGTCTGGCCCCCGGACGCATCCGGCACATTCCGGGAGGGGCGTTCAGACGGAGCCACAGTGCTCAGTGGGCAGCCGGCGCCCCTCTCTGCTGTCCCGGCCCCCGCATTCCCAAGGCCGGGACGCGGACCCGGACACACCTCCCTCACGGGGCTACCACGCAGGCAGAAGGAGGTTGTGGCTATTCTGATTTGAATGGGGTGAAAAGAAGAGGCATTACTTTTTGAAACTAAGGTGTCGGAACTGTCATCATCGTGTTTTTCTAAACTAAGATTCTGAGACAACGTGGGAGAAAGCTGGAGTGATTTAAGCATCAGTTCACTCCAAGCCCAAACCTCCTCACTGAGAACTGGAGAACCGTCGGCACACGGCAACTCTATGCATTTGGAAATAGCAGCACAGGCTTACGGTGCTGCAGTTAAAATAACCAGAAAAACCTCACCCCACAGCAAGCGCCACGATCCCGGACTCCGGTCAGGCACCGCAAGGACAAAGGACACGGGCCCATCATCACCGGCCCTCGAAGGAGGAGAGTGAGCCCCAACCAGCTCGCCAGAAGGGCGCCGACCGCGCCCCGAGGAAGTGAACCTCCAACACCCCCAACTGCCCCTAACCTCGAGCGGGAAATCACCCCACCAATCGGAAGCCACGCCACCACGTGGCTCACGGGTACGGGGGCGACACAGTGCAGCCTTGCACCTCTCAGCCTCCTTCCTGCCCCTGCCTGCGAGCGCCAGACTTCACCAGGGCTGGGTCTCGGTCACGTGCCCCGTGACCTTCTCACCCTACGAGCATTTCTAGGGGACCCTCCAAGCAGTTCAACTTCCTTCTCGGTTCCGACACCCCGCACACCTGCTGGAAGGGATCCTCCCCTGAACTGGGGCGTTAAATTTCCTTGGGGGGGGAGGGGACGACTCCTCCCCTGAGGTCCTCCGCCCCCTTCACCCAGCCCCCACCGGACGCCCGCCTGAGCCGCTTGACTCTGCAGGAAACTCACGGTTTGTTCAGCTGACACCTGACTAGGGGCCTGACCTCATCCTTTTTTTGTTTGTTTTGTTGAGACAGAGTCTCACTCTGTTGCCCAGGCTAGAGTGAGTGCCGTGGCGTCAGCCTAGCTCACAGCAACCTCCAACCCCTGGGCTCAAGCAATCTTCCTGCCTCAGCCTCCCGAGTAGCTGGACTACAGGCATGCGCCACCATGCCCGGCTAATTTCTTTTTCTACATATATTAGTTGGCCAATTAATTTCTTTCTATTTTTAGTAGAGACGGGGTCTCGCTCTTGCTCAGGCTGGTTTCGAACTCCTGACCTGGAGCAATCCGCCCGCCTCGGCCTCCAGAATGCTAGGATTACAGGTGTGAGCCACCGTGCCCAGCCGAGACCTCATCCTTAGAGCACTCACAAACGAGTCTCTGGGACTCAGAAGTGCCGCCCAAGCACCTAAGCCCCTCCCTCTGAACCGCGGCATCGGGAAGGACGGAGCCTCTGTCCCCTGGTCTCTGTGGGGGACAGAGTCTGAACTTCCACGACTGCTGCTCGCAGGCTGGTCACATTAACTGACCACCTCCGTGCTGTTCCCCCACCCCCCGCCATTCCACTGAGCCCCTGCGTCCCCTCCCTCCCTCTCCGTTGAAAATGCCCAAATCGCTCCTGCACAAGTCAGAGTCGGGGGGCTCAGCTCCCTCTCTGCTGAGTAGTTACTAGTGAAATCTGTTTTCACCCCTGTCACTGCCATGTTCTCTTTGACGTCATCTTCCCACCGAAGGCCAGACCCGATGTCCCTCGGGCCCCTCCCCCAGGTGCCCGGGACCACAGTGCCACCTGCTGTCAGTTAGGACAGGCCAGTGTAGGAGGCCTGGGGGTCTCCTCCCCACACCCACTGAGTGCAAGCTCTCCAAGGGGGTGCAGAGAGTCCCCACGTGAAACCACTTCTAGGGCCCGGACGATTTCCGCCAGCTCGCTCCTAAATAAACAACGAAAGTAAGACCCTTCAAAGCCCTCCTCCCCTAAGGTCCGCTCACAGAATTGTTTCGTTTTCCTCCCTCTCCTGTCTAGATGGCATGCGTGAACGGGCCCCTCGTCTGCAGTCCCGGACTGCAGGGAGAACACCGGGAAGGGAAGAGACCTCGGGTCAGGCAGCTTAGCAAGCGCCAGAAGCAGGACCCCAAGCTGACCCTCCAGCCCCCACCTGGTGGCTGCAAACCACACCCTCGAGGCCGTCAGGGCAGCACCAGCCTCCATCCGATGTCCGGCTGCCTCAGGACACGAGCCGGACACGCCGCTCCTCCCTCCCTCCCTCGGCTGGGTCTTCCCTCTGTGAGGGAGGGTCCGAACCCCGCCCCCTTGAACATCTCGGCCCCCGAAAGCCAGCAGAACTATTGCTCATTTGTTTTTACGAGGACACATGGTCAGGTTTCCTTCCTGGGAGGAAATGCCCGGCGTTTAGGTGGATATTTGGGTCCATCTAGTGGAACTTCCAGCACACCAGGACCAAGGGCGTGCGTCTGCTGCGAGAATAAGCGGGTTAAATTGGGAAAAAAAATGTCGAATAAGTGAGGATCGTTGATGACTGGAGTCACGCCCATGAAACGTGGCTTTAGGAACAGGTGTCTTTGGCAGGAAGGGCCCGCTAACCGATAGCGTTCCCTGGGATTGCTATACATTCTGCAGAAAAAGACTTCGTTAACAAAATTTAGGTGTTTGGGGTTTTTTTTTTGTTTTATTTTGTTTTTTGAGACAGTCTCACTCTGTTGCCCAGGCTAGAGTGAGTGCCGTGGCGTCAGCCTCGCTCACAACAACCTCAGACTCCTGGGCTCAAGCGATCCTCCTGCCTCAGCCTCCCAAGCAGCTGGGACTACAGGCATGCGCCACCATGCCCAGTTAATTTTTTGTGTATATATTTTTAGTTGGTCAATTAATTTCTATTTTTAGTAGAGACGGGGTCTCATTCAGGCTGGTTTCGAACTCCTGACCTGGAGCAATCCACCCACCTCAGCCTCCCAGAGTGCTAGGATTAGAGGCGTGAGCCACCGCACCCAGCCAAATTTAGGTGTTTTGTTGTTGTTGTTGTTGTTGTTTTGAGACAGAGTCTCACTCTGTTGCCCGGGCTAGAGTGCTCTGGCGTCAGCCTAGCTCACGGCAACCTCCAACTCCTGGGCTCAAGCGATCCTCCTGCCTCAGCCTCCCGAGTAGCTGGGACTACAGGCACGCGCCACTAATGCCCGGCTATTTTTCTAGTTTTAGTAGAGACGGGGTGTCGCTCTTGCTCAGGCTGGTCTCAAACTCTTGAGCTCAAGTGATCCGCCTGCCTCGGCCTCCCACAGTGCTGGGACTGCAGGCGTGAGCCACCGCCCCCGGCAGACAAAATTTAGAAACGCTGTCTCTTTGGTTATCTCAAAGCAGCTCTCCTACTTAGGGAAAGACCTTGGGTAGTTCAGTGGCGCCTCGCAGAAGCTCACGGTGTTTTAAAGAAGCGACAGTTGAGGTTTAAGGAAAGGTGAGAGGAGCTCAGTTCGGCTCATCAGCAGTGACGTGTGTCCCTTCCTCTCTGCGCCCCAGTAGGGGTCTGATGGGTCTGTGGGGGACTCTCCATCCCAGGAGTCTTGCTTCCTGGTCCTCGCTCCCAGGGCTGAGGGGCGGTGACTCCCGCTAGCCACGGCTGGGACGAGACACCCGCGCTGCTGTCCCTCGACACCAAGAGCTCACGAGTTTCCCTGGAAACTCACCAAAGTTCTTTGCATGTGGACCAGAACCCGGTAAAAGGAAGGGTGCTGCTCTCTTGAGCTCCACATCAGGGATTTTAATCCCTAAACATATTAAAACATCACAATAATGGAAGGATTTGGGGGAAGAACTGCCGTTTAGAGAACTGCTGCCCTGGGACAAGAGCGGGCGGGGGCGGTGCTGGGACCGCGACCAAGGTCATCCTCACCACCCCCTGCGGGGTGGGAGCTCCCGGTCCTGCCTTGCAAACCTGCAGGGCGTGACGCAGCGCGGGGAGGGCACGGCTGAGAGGGCGAACAGCGGGTGTGAACCAACGCTCTGAGTCAGGCGTGCTCTCTCCGCAGCCCAGAAGCACAGCGCACGGTGACCCAGGCAGGGGCTCAAGTCACCCGGACACGGTCCGCTGAGCACCTGCACGCCGGCCCTGCGACGGTGTCATGGCAGCGGAGGCTCCATCCCGTTCCCCAGGCAACACCAGACGAGGACGTGCTCCGACCTCGAGTGCCTTTTGGTAGGCAGAGCTCACGGTGAAGAAACAGCTTTTAAATTCCCTTTCAACATGCAACAGCTGGCGGGCGCGGTGGCTCACGCCGTAATCCCAGCACTCTGGGAGTTGAGGCAGGCGATTGGCTCGAGGTCAGGGTTCGAGACAGCCTGAGCAAGAGTGAGACCCCCCATCTCTACTAAAAATAGAAAGCAATTAATGGCAACTAAAATATATAGAAAAATAGCCGGCGTGGTGGCGCATGCTGTAGCCCAGCTACGCGGGAGGGCTGAGGCAGGAGGATCGCTTAAGCCCAGGAGTTTGAGGTTGCTGTGAGCGAGGCTGACGCCATGGCACTCTAGCCCAGGCAACAAGAATGAAAAAGTGAGACTCTGTCTCCAAAAAAAAAAAAAAAAAATGCAACAGCTGCAACTGCTAGATTAAAAACAAAGGAAAACTTAAAAGCCTAAAACTAAATTGCGTGTGTGATGCTCTTATGTTTCCATGCCCAGGTAAACTGCTCTGTAAACAACAGCGTGGTAAGTGGATGGCTTCTCCCAAATCAAGGCTGAAGAGAGGAAAGAATGTGTAGCCTTGGAAAGGCTGAACCTCCGAGAAGGTGGACAGAGGAAGCAGAAATAGCCTGGGGGTTGGGGGGGGGAGAAGGAGCAGAAAAGAGGTTCAGAGAGTCCGCCAGGATAGAAAGGATCGTTTTTAAGGCGCTACTGCTCTTTTCGACTTTTCCCCCATACCACTGTACTCACTTTATATGCCGGGATATCCGATTATATGTTTGCCACCTGGAAGGCACGTTCATATCACAGTGCACCACCGGTTTGATCTGAAAGAAGAAAAAACAAGCCTCAGAATTTGGTTCAAATTGGCGAGCACGTGTTAAATGCCAACTGCGTGCACAGCAGCAGCCCCAAAGCGTGCGTAAGTGGGGTGTCCCTTTGCTAACCGAGAGTTCACAGAGCATCTCCAGACGACTCGGAGAAAGGCGGATTGCGTGCTGGAGTGGAGAAGATTCCAGCAATTGCAAGGCCACGTGAACTGCGGCGCAGCCTGCGGGGGCCGGGGCGACAAGTAAGGTACCACGAAAGGTAAGGTAAGGTTCCTGTACCTCGTGCCGGGGCTGCACCCAGGGGCTCGCCCCCAGGCGCTTGCTGCACAAACTTGGGGCCCCAAGAACGGACACGCAGCTTCTGATTTCAGAGCACAGGACCCGAGCCAGGACGCCCTGGCCGGCAGGTGGGCCCCTCCGCCCTGTTTTCAGACCTTTGCTGAGAATGTGGTGCGAGAGGCTGAGCCGACTGCCCGGCCCTGCTACAGCGGCCACCTCCAACCCCCTGGGGACAAGGCGCCAAGTAGGAGAGGAATTTCTGAGACCTGCCCCAGGTGGGCGAAGTCCCTCTTCCTCGCGTCCCTACGGTTTAAGAGGGAGCAGAAAAGCAAACACGGGGATTTTTACTGGGCGTGGATGTGAACGCCCCCGCACCGAGCGCTTGGTCCTGGCCCCACACGCAGTGCCAGGCTCGCCGAGGGGGTGCCCGCCCCAGCACTTCAGTGCAGACCTTGCCCTGAAAAGCTGCTCCCTTTGTCCCTGTCCCTTTGTCCCTGGCCCACCAGGCTGTCCCTTTGTCCCTGGCCCACCGGGCTGTCCCTTTGTCCCTGGCCCACCGGGCTGTCCCCTGCATCCAGCTGGCCCAGACCGTCTGCCCCGGCTCAGGCTCCGCTGCGGTCCACGCCTCGCTCGGCCTCCCCTCCCGGCCGCTCACCTGGACAGCGCCGCGTTCTCCCGAGGGCTCCCCACCAGGGCTCCCCACTGCACCATCACCTCCCCGATGACGCTGTCTTCTCGGCAGCAACTGGGCCTTCTCCGCCTCTGCAGGACGAAGTCCAGCCCCCACCCACGCACTGTCTCCGTGGCCCCCCACGCGCCCACGCCCCAAGCGCCCCCCACGCCCCAAGCACCCCCCATGCCCCAAGCACCCGTTTTGCCTGGCCTCCTCCCTCTGCCTCTTCACCCCGCCCAAGCTCCAAGGGCTCTGCGGGGAGCCCGGTCCAGGCCACACCAGCACTGACCCCCACTCCGGCGCACCCCACACCGGCACGGAGACGGGCCCGGCAGGGGCTCCTGGCACCCACTCCCCTCCCAGCCCAGCCCACAAGAGAGCTCCCAGTGGCTGGGATCCAGCACCTGCTGCTCCCAGAAGCCCCTCCTGCACCCGCCTCTGCCCACCAGGCCACCCGGTGCCGGGCTCCACGCAGCCCCACGGGAGGGTCCGGCATCCCTGCTCCTCCGCCCCCTCCACCGCCGGGCCCGGCCAGGCCTCCCAGCTCAGGCACACACCAGGGGACGGCCGCTCGGCCCACCCAGGCCGGAGCTCGGCCGAATTGCTCCAAGATGAGCAAAGCCACCCACAGACGTGCCCTGCCGGGTGCAGCAGCAGCCCACGTGCCGCGGTCCACGAGGACGGGCACGACAGGTGGAGGCGCCACACAGCGCACTCGCCCGAGAGCTGCACTGCACAGGTGAGGGCAACAGGTGCTGCTGCTCTGGGTCCTCTGAAGGCGCCCAGGGGCCGTGTCGGCGTCTCAGAGCAGGTGGGGAGAGCCCAGACGCGGCTGCTGGGACCGCTCGGCACCCCCCGACCTTGCAAGGCCTTTCGTCCCGGGGCGAACTGGCCTGGGGGCCTGGGGCAAACGGCGAGTCTCGAGTCTCGGGGGCAGCCTGGGAGGCGGGAAAGCCACGGTCCTCGGAGCTGGGCGAGCCCAGGTTCAAATCCCAGCTCTGCCTCTTACCGCCCAAGTGCCGTAGGAGAGGCTGCCGCCCGGCTGTCTCTGACGGCGGCGCGTCAGTGCTGAGAACGGACGAGAGCACCTGCCAGCACTGTCACGGGCACTAGGTGAGATCACGTCTTATAAAGGGCACCGTGCAGCGCCTGTCACACAACAACACAAGTCCAGTCCCGTGAGTATGGGAGGCCCGAACGCACATGCGTGTGCACACACACACACACAGGGGCAGGGCCTGTGCAGGAGGGGACAGAGGGGCCATTTCGGCATCTCAGTCCCAGGTGGAATTGCTCATTTCACCCCCAGTGGACCGAGGGGCCCAGCCTCCCCATCTCAAGAAACGGCGCCACCCGAGACCCGTCATCAGTCCGACTACAAAATCTGGAGACGTTTTGGAGTCTGCCCACCCCGCGTGCCGCCCCCTCAGCCATCGGTGCACCTGCCAGGTCCACCTGGAAGCCACACACTGCACAACGGCCAATGCCCGGGCCAGCCACGCCTCCACCACCCCTCCGAGACCCGTCTCCTGCCACCTCTCCCCCCTCCTGCCTGTGACCATCGTTTCTTCATGGGCAGCAGAGGGGCCTTTGCAGACGTAAGTCAGTGCTCGCCCTGACGTCTGCACCCCCACTCAGACCCCCCAGCCCCGGCTGCCTCTCCCCGCTCTCCCTGCGCCTGCCCCTCCCGGCCTCCCCACACCCGGCCTGCGTCCCTCCTGCAGCACAGCAAACACCAGGCTGTCCCCGCACGGGACCTGCGCCCGGAGCATCCTCCCGGACCTCTGCCCGGCTCTCTCCCTCCTGCGCTGGGAGGTCACGCTGAGGTCAGCTCCTCCGAGAGGCCTTCCCCGACAGTCACACCCCGCGATTTGCTTTCACTATAGCGCTTACTGCCCAATGCGTCCTTGCTTGTTCACTTTCCCACAAGCTCCTGGTAGAACGTGAGCCTCGGGGGAGCGGGGACCCTGGCTGTCACGGTCAGCAAGGTGCCCCCAGGGCCTGAGGGAGGCAGGGCCCCTCGTAGGAGCTCGACAACCATTTCATGGAGACGATGGACAGTGGGGGGATGAATGCTACCATGACAAGTGAAAAACAGCCCCGACACCCTGGAAAGGACCCCAGAGAAAGAGACAGAGGCCACTGGAGTTGTGGCAATGCGCTCCGACATCATTGCCACCCTGTCGCAGTGTGCATAAAACTGCACACACCTGCACACTGACAGGTAAAATACAGCACCATGAACACCAACAACTAGCACGAATTTACAGACCGAGTCTGAAAACAAAACAACAGAAATCACCCTCTGCAAAATTCTATTAAAATACAGCCACCCTAAGGCACAGATTCCTGCCTGATTACATGAAATTATGGCAACAATGAGCTAATTGCTCTTTCCATGTGTTAATGATTCATTAACCCTGATAGCACCTGCCTAATTAAATAACTCCAGCAATTAAATACACGATTCTGGGTTATCTTCTCTGTACTCCATAGAATAATCTCCTAAGCGGGGCCGAGCACGTGTGTCTGGTGGCGGTCGCAGCCTCGTTCCACCTGTCAGAGCGCAGCCGTGAGCAGAAGCAGAGCCCTGCCACACGCTAACTCGCCGACGACCCTCGGAAACGTGACGCTAAAAGGCCTCGTGTTGCATGGACCTGTCTGCCGTGTTTCCCCGGAAATAAGACAGGGTCTTACATTTATTTTTTCCTCAAGAAGGCACCCTAGGGCTTATTTTCAGGGGATGTGTTATTTTTTTTTTTTAAGTATGGCACCACAATCTACATTGATTCAAATAGAATGAAGGCGTCTTCTTCTGGAACATCATCATCACTCTCCAGACCCCGAATCCCATCTTGAATTTCTTGCAATCCTATTTCCTTTAGATCCATTGGCCCCAGTCTCTCATGTCAAGCAATAGAGCTGTCACGGGGCAGGTGAGAAGAGCTGCTCGTCTTCTTTCACACTCTGTGACGACATGCACGGGTTGTGCAGATGCGCTGCGCAGCCACGCCCGTCACTAGGGCTTATTTTTGGGGTAGGGCTTCTATTGCACACATGCTTAGAAATCCTGCTAGGGCTTACTCTATGGGCAGGGCTTATTTTCAGGGAAACACGGTACATGGCCCGTCCCGAGCAGGCAGATCCACGGGGACGGCCGTCGTCACTCTCACCGGCTTGCAGTCACATCTCAAGGGTGCTCCCTGTTGCCCCCATGGCCCCAGCCACCCCTCCCCAGAGGACATTCCCACCGTCACACGACACGACGTCGAGCCCTAGAAAACCTCTCCTGACTCTATTTCCCCTTGGAGTTGCCTCCGCGTTCCCTCCTTCCTTCGGCAGAGCTCTGAAAGCAGTCTGCATCCCCCTCTCGGTCTCTGCTGCTCTGTCGGCCGCAGGCCCCCGTCACTGAACCCAGGGACCCCCGCTCGGTCACTCCTCTGGTCGGCCGAGTGTGACGCCGATGGCCCACCTATCTCTCCCTGCGGCGGCCACCTGCTCTTCCTCCTGCCTCTTCTGCAGCCTCTCTCCCGCCCACCACGTGCAGGAGCGCTCGGGACGTTTGCTGGGGACCGGCTGTGCTCTGTCCGCGAGGCTCCCCGCGGGAACTCACAGTCCAGCACCACCGCCCCTGCCCGAGTCACCCCGTCCCTTGCCGGGGCCATCGCAGCCGCCTCCTGACCCGTCTCCCAGGTCCCACATCAGCCCCTGGTAAGGGCCCCTGGTAAGGGCCACACAGCCGCCAGGCGCCCTTGTAACTCCGTGGCCAGCGCAGGCCAGCACCGCGCCCAGGGCCTCTGCACCGTCCACCCTCCCTCTCAGGAGCCTTTTGCCCAAGGTGTCTAAGCTGCTCCCTCACTTCCTCTGGGTCTGGACTCAGAAGCCCGCCTCGGTGAAGACCCCCTGGTCACCCTCGGCAAAACCTGACAGCCCCGGCACGACAGTCCTTATCCCCAGCATACTCTGTGTTTTGTTTATTTTCTTCACTGTCTGTCTCCTTGAAGGCAGGAATGCTTTTCCCATTTTATACAGTTGTACGTCCCAG